ATACCAAACTGCAATATGCAATGATGAAATTGTATAAAATGGGAAGATTTGAACCCGCATATTTGCTTCACCACGTTGGTACTGATTTCTTCAATCGTGTGGCTAGTTTGCGACGGCTTGATGTGCTAGGATAGGGCTGTTTGTAGATAAAATTATTTGTCTTTTGGCGCACATTTACCTGTCTCTAATTCCACTGGGCAGCAAATGTGAACGTTAGGCGTGGTACAAACTGAAGGCCAATTATGAGGCTTGGTTACGCACAGATCACAAATATGCTCTGCTTAATTATGTGCAAATTTGCTATAAGTCCCATAAGTGGGCATTCTAAACTGGTATTTAGATTGAGTTGTCATTTACCTGCCAGGCTAAAGTTCCCAAGGAGCGGGATGATTATTCTTTTACCATCCAATTTAATGCTTTCCACGATCTCGAGTGAGCTGAATTTGACTTAGAGCCGTTGCTTCGAGCAGATGGGCAAGTTTGGGAAGTAATTTCTAAACTTTTGTCCCTATTAGATCGTTTTGCATTTGGTTGTCATGGTTTGTGGAAAGGAGTGTGCACGATCCAGTGTTAACTCCGAGGCGAGGTACCGCTGAGATCTAGGCAAGGTTGAAACAGCATTTGCAAATAAATGAGTAAACATTTTGGTGATAGAGCTAGGGAAAATTCATTGGGAGCAGGAGATATACTCACTGCATCAGGGGAACATCTAACCACCGTAGGCTTTTGACATGCTCTTTGTAAGTAACCCCAGAAGCTATCAGGAAAACGGCAGACGCAATAGATTCGAGTGAATTTTGGTATAGAACCGACACCAACTCTGCCCTCGAGGAAGGAAAGAAATGCATTCGTACTGAGCTTTCATTTGTCATGGACTTCTTCAGAGCCATAAACCATTCTTTAAGAACAAACGCCAACAAACACTAAACCAAGAAATGGGACTGGCTTAGATTATACTTATTTTTTATGCCCCACCTTGCGACCTTAATAAGCTATTCCAATATTTGTTTATAATTAGGGTTTTGAGGCTACCTGTAAATCGGATATATGGCATGTTGACATTACACGCTGCACTATCATGGTTCGAGTACTGCTGGGGATGTTGTTAAGACATAGTTGAGGTCAAAACTGAAGTCCACCCTGAATGAGAACACCTCTTGCGAAAACATGACAATGCGAAATTGACTGAAAGTCCCAGCTCTACTCATATGATTTTGGGATAATTCAACTACCAGTCCTTCATTACTTTAAACGAAACAGGGCAAATACATCTCATATTCCTTGATTTGAGTGGCTATTTTATGATTCGTATTAGAGTAGGGTTTCGAGACTACCAGAAAATCAGTGCAATGAGATGTATTCACT